ACTTGTTAAGTCATGATACACTTTTAAATCTTGCAAAATTATGGCCTGATAAATGATGGTATTTTACCTTTTTGTAATCTTTTGCTTAGTTTCTACATTCAAATGTTGGGCTTGTGAAGTATTTTGTGGGCCTGTAACTTTCAGGCATAGCAAGCCCGACGGGCAAGCAACATTGGAAAACTATTTCACACACTGGTACAAATCACAGTTTAATGGTGTTAAATTTTCAAAAACAGACTACAGTCAAAGTTGAGCATACTGAACTGGACGTTCTTTACCAGATCAAGTCTTCCGACGCTGGATCTGAAGTCTCTCACTATAATAGACCTGTAGAACCAGCTTCAGCAGCGGGCAGACGACCAGAGCATTGTCTGACCTGCAGAGCGCCCTCTGTTGACAAGAGAGTCAATTGATTCAACTGTCAATAAGTTTTCGGATGACATAGCGTACATTGATGTGTTCAAGTCACACAGGGCTGTAAGTGGCTCAGTAGAGTTCCATGTACTACAGATGCCTCAACACGTTGGCTCGCAGCAGCTGTAACATTTGCTGATTATGGATGATTTGGTACGTCATGGGCAACAGAGAGATGGTGCCATGATGCATCGATCGGTCAAATTTTTTTCTTTCTTTTTGAATCGTCAAGAATACCGTGGGAATTGATCCCTTGTCACTTATTCAGGTCGTACAAGGTGAAATAGGGGTTAGACTTGTTGATGGTGTGTCTTGATACCTGTGGGGATTGTTGGTCACAATGTCGGTCACTGGATTGTCTGGTCTGTCTGATCACTGGATTGTCTGGTCTGTCTGATCACCGGGTTGTCTGGTCTGTCTGATCACTGGCTTGTCTGGTCTGTCTGATCACTGGCTTGTCTGGTCTGTCTGATCACTGGATTGTCTGGTCTGTCTGATCACTGGATTGTCTGGTCTGTCTGATCACTGGCTTGTCTGGTCTGTCTGATCACTGGCTTGTCTGGTCTGTCTGATCTGATTGTCTGGTCTGTCTGATCACTGGATTGTCTGGTCTGTCTGATCACTGGCTTGTCTGGTCTGTCTGATCACTGGCTTGTCTGGTCTGTCTAGATCACTGGCTTGTCTGGTCTGTCTGATCACTGGCTTGTCTGGTCTGTCTGATCACTGGATTGTCTGGTCTGATCACTGGATTGTTAGTCGCCTTTTACGACAAGCATAGTCGCCTTTTATGACAAGAATGGGTTGCTGAAGACCTATTCTACCCCGAATCTTCACGGGTCTCAGCATAGGAGGAACCTTGTCATATATAATGTTGTAATGCTCATGATATTGATCACTGTATCGTCTGGTCCAGACTCGATTTTTTTCAGAATGCCATCATGTAGCTGTATGTAATATTGTTGAGTGCGGCTTTAAACAACAAAGAAACGAATCGTAGCATCAATCACTGGCTGGTGTTGTCCAGACTGGTTTATTTTAAGGTTCAATCCTATAAGTAGAATATTGTGTGAGACGATAAACAACAAATAAACAAGCTTCACAATTTCTGATAGGCTCCATCACGGCTGTGGGGCAGAAATCGTATCTTGTATGTAGGTGTGGAGATATAATTTGATTTATCGTGTAGACAACTTTATCGATTTTAATCATCATATTTCTTATTAGTTTATCATGTTCTCTTGCCACAAAGGGGTAAATCTTGTGATTTATCTCGATTGAAATTGACAGGTTTGGGTCGTATTTTTAGTCGTCAGAGATGAAACGTTAGGGAACATGGAGGGTCGTTCCTGTAGGACGAAAGTTTGCAGCGGTACTGGTCACTTTATCTTTTTCAAGTTTTGACAAGAATATCACCAGTGTATATAGCAAGGGTTAAATGTGAGGGGTGTTTTTTCTTGCAAAGATTTCTAGGAAATGGTTTATGGATAAATTTGTTTAGGTGTAGTGGAGGTTGGAGGTGGTAGCCGCGTGGTTAAATCATTGGCTCGTCATGACGAAGACCCGAGTTTGATTCCCCACATGCGTACAGTGTGTGAAGCCCATTTCTGGTGTCCCCCGCCTTGATATTGATGGAAAACTGCTAAAAATGGCATTAAACTGATGTCAGTCACTGAGGTGTAATGATTGTGGTGTGAAGCAGTGGTGATGGTGCCAGTAAGGAGGATGATGATGATGATGATGATGACGGGGACTTAGAATTGTATGGATAACATGTTTTGTGCTTTACTAAAATGAAGATGGAGTACACTACATTTTAACTAGGTATAGAACAAGTCTAGAATGAAGACCATGTACACAAGAGTACACCACCAGTTACTTCTGGACAAGTCTAGAATGGAGACCGTGTACACTAGAGTACACCACCAGTTACTTCTGGACAAGTCTAGAATGGAGACCGTGTACACTAGAGTACACCACCAGTTACTTCTGGACAAGTCTAGAATGAAAACCGTGTACACTAGAGTACACCACCAGTTACTTCTGGACAAGTCTAGAATGGAGACCGTGTACACTAGAGTACACCACCAGTTACTTCTGGACAAGTCTAGAATGAAAACCGTGTACACTAGAGTACACCACCAGTTACTTCTGGACAAGTCTAGAATGGAGAATGGTACACTAGAGTACACCACCAGTTACGTGGACAAGTCTAGAACTGGAAGTACACTAGAGTACACCACCAGTTACTTCTGGACAAGTCTAGAATGGAAGTACACTAGAGTACACCACCAGTTACTTCTGGACAAGTCTAGAATGGAGACCGTGGTACACTAGAGTACACCACCAGTTACTTCTGGACAAGTCTAGAATGGAGACCCGTGTACACTAGAGTACACCACCAGTTACTTCTGGACAAGTCTAGAATGGAGACCGTGTACACTAGAGTACACCACCAGTTACTTCTGGACAAGTCTAGAATGGAGACCGTGTACACTAGAGTACACCACCAGTTACTTCTGGACAAGTCTAGAATGGAGACTGTGTACACTAGAGTACACTACCAGTTACTTCTGAACAAGTCTAGAATGGAGACAAAGTACACGACAGTACATACACTAAGTAGAAATCTGGTTAAAGATGGGTATTTTCACTCAGGGATAATCCCCCGTATCGTTGTATTCTCTTGGTGTTTCGAATAATCAATACACAAATAAAGAGACTGTATTCTCGCTTTGAAGTGGATATGGATTTTTCATCTATCAGCGCAGATCAACAAAATTTCATTGAATCGTAACTCTTAGTCTAGACATCGTTGAGATAAGTCCGCCTCAATTTGATCTCATTGTTTACAGCTGTTTGCCCACAGAGTTGCAGGAGGGGAAATCTTTGATGCGGAGCTTGTTGGCCAAAGAGGTTTCTTCTTCTTGCGACAAACATTTACTGTGTATGTCCGTTGCTATTCGAAGCTGACAGTTTCAGTGTTGGGACGTTTGTTGTCGTGTAGACATTTTCACATCGGTTCAATACGACGCCTGTTCCCTGACAGCTACAATGGTTGTACAATCCCACTTGCTGTCTTTGACCATTTAGTTCTGACTGTTCACCTCTGATATGCGGAGAAATGTTTTTTTAACGACCCCGACAATAATAACCAACCCGTATGAGACATTACAGACAGACCGAAATAGTCTCGTGGAAATAGAGCCTTTAAAAAACACTCTGTAAGTCTTATAAATCAATTTGTCTGAAAATCTTGCCGTACAATCATAAACAGGGTCTTCATGGCTTTGATAAACCTCGGTGTTAAATAGTCTGTCATTAAGATCCGGTGGTATCGTGTTGGTTAATTACAATGATCCGTCATCTAGCTGCAGAACCGGTTTTGTTGCCAGCCATCAATTTCTCCATGATCCAGGATTAATCAGCTAAATTTCAAGATCTCACTCTGAAACGAAAGCACTTTTTTGTCGTTAGTGGGCAGAACATAGATGTATTCCCATTAGGGTATGTGATGACAGCCGTTTGGACTTCCTCACAGACATTGTAGCTATTGAGCGTCAGAAACAGGGGAGGACAATTTGTCAGACCCCCCAGAGTATTACAAGCGTAATATCCTTGCGAGTATTCATAGAGGGTTTTTTTCTGTCTGTGGAGAGGGTGGAAGAACTGCGAAGTGCTGAAAGAAAGTTTTTCACCTAAATCTCAGAGTGTTTTGTCGAAGGAATGTCAGGTGTCACTATTCCCAGCAGGAATAATCTTGTTGCGTCTCCTACCACGCTGCAAACCCCACCAGCCATGCCGCGTCTTATATTTCATCCTACTAATAAACGCTGTACCGTTTCACCTTTCTCACCAAACTTTTCTCTTTTACCATTTTCCCCAATTCACCACTCCCTACAGGAAACTAGTGGTCCATCTCTGTGCCCAGAAATCTCACACCTCACCACCATCCCCATGATGCCATTTTGCCCCTCCCTACAACAGGTATCCCCTCTCTCTATCCTTCCCTCTCACCTGTCTTCCATCCCTCCTTTTTCATTCTCTTTCTCTCTCTATCCTTCCCTCTCACCTGTCTTCCATCCCTCCTTTCTCTCTCTCTCTTTCTCTCTCTCTATCCCCCTCTCTCACTTGTCTTTCATCCCTCCTTTCTAACTCTTTCTTTCTCTCTCTATCCCTCCCTCTCACCTGTCTTCCATCCCTCCTTTCTCTGCTCCTCCCTTCATCCTCCCTTCTCTCTATCCCCCTCACTGTCTGTCTCTCTCTCTCTCTCTCTCTCTCTCTCTCTCTCCTCCTCTCTCTCCTCCCATCATCCTTTCTTCTTCATCCTTCCCTCTCTTTTCCCCTCCCTCTCTCTGGCAATCTATAGCCTGTTATATATTGTATTGTGTATAGTTAACTTACATGCTAGGTTTACATCTTTATCTGTGATGTTCTAGTTTTTACTGTCTTTTGTTGCAGGTTTATATATTCTGAGTTTATGTGTGAATGTATAACTTGTTTTAGCCACAATATGGCTGAACTACTGCTTACCCTAACTCACTCACTCACACTCTTGCTTATCTGTTCACAATGCATTGATCTTCTAGGTGATGCAACCTTCAAGTGATGCTACCTCCAAGTGATGCTACCTATCAAGTGATGCCACTTTAAGGTCAGGCTGTCTTTTAAGCCAGGAGAAACAACCTTCGCGTTATGCCACCTCTCAAGTGATGCCATCTTCGCGTCAAGCTTCCTTCAAGTGCCGCTACCTTCAATCCATCCTCCTGGCTGCAGATGACACAAAACTTCGTGGATGGGGATACCATCCTCGTCACCCGGCATCTGGTAAGTTCATACAGTTACTCACTTGCCTCCAGAATCGATGATAGTCTCTCAAACAGAATGATTTATGTCGATTGATTGTTTCCAAGTTGAACAGTGACATTAGCTGCTTAGGGACCGGTAGCAGTAGAACGTTTTACACAATGATTGAGGACGTTTCTCCCAGAAACCAGACAATGCAGAAAAAGTCAGACATTATCATAACAAGCGTGTCCAGTTTTGGTCAGTATCCACAAGTAACTTCACCTTGTCCAGGGGTCGTATGTCGAGTATGACGTATGACAAGTAACTTCACCTTGTACAGGGGTCGTATGACGAGTATGACGTATGACAAGTAACTTCACCTTGTCCAGAAGTCGTATTAGTACTTAAGACATGGCTGTTTTCAGAAAGAAGTGGTATAGGCTAGTGGTTAAGGTGTTCGCCTGTTTGCTGAAGATGTGGGTTTGATTCCCAATATGGGAACAGTGTGTAAAGCCATTTTCTGGTGTCATACTTAAAATAGACTTAGATCGTCATTGTTAAAATGGATCTGGTCAATGAGTTTAGTTTTACACTGCACTCGGCAATATTTCAGTTATATGGCGACGGTCTGTAAATAATTGAGTCTGGACCTGACAATCCAGTGATCAACAACATGAGCATCGATCTGTGCAATTGGACCTGGTTAGTATACACACTGGCTAATTTCTGACTCTTGTCAATTCAAACCACATATATTATGACCCGAGGCCACGTACCTTGTCTACATGGCCAGAGTTAAGGTCGGGATGTGATCTGTGAGATGGCGGCAAACACCACGAAATTCTCCGTCCTCAACAGAAGGCCTCAGAAGGCGGAATACTGATCCATATTTTGCTTCAATTTTATCTGAATATACTTAAATGCCAGAATTGCAGCAATAAAATCCCTATTCCTGTGTTGGGATTCAAACCACAGACCCTCTAATCTAAGCCCTCTGATGCTCTGTCCAAATGATCAAAGAGGTTAATCCCGTGCTTCCCCGCCCTGTACATGGCATTTGAAATTCAGGAAAAAATTACACCCTTTCAGACCTCGTTTACATATTGAAACAGGACAGAAAGACAATCTTATGGAAATGTTTGCTCCGGTTGTAAATCGCTGGTCTGTGATTTAGGAGTTGTAAATAAATTTCTTTCAAGTTGAGACAACCAGTAGTAGTTTTCATGTCAGAATTAGTCGGTTTGGATTAAAACGTGAATAAGGCCACGTTATCTACCCCAGACAGAGCTGGTCTCGTTTCAGCTGACAAGTTTATCAACAGTGACCCGGAATTTGTAGGAAACGGCACCGACCTCCTAACTGTATTAGCTGAGAGGAGAGGGAAAACACCGTCTCTCCATAGCATTGAATCAACCTCTCATAGCTTGAATGAAAAAAGGGAAAATTAAATGAATCGGACAAGTGGGATTCTCTCGAGGATAAACCGAGATGTGAAACTGCATCGTGTAGAATGAACTTGCAGATGTGCCTCCCGGGTTCATCTCTCAAGTCTGGACTTTTGTTTGTGGGAGAACACAAGGGGTGGATAAAATATATTACTGCTACCGTATTTATTCCGCAAGTGTGCAAAATGAAAAGGCTAGCTTGGAGGCTGGTATTTTTCCCCTTCCGGAAGAATTGGTCTGAGAAATTCTTTAAGCAGCTGTCATGAAATCATATGATTTGATAAACTGAGTCTTTTTTGTCTGGTACCGAAGGGATATGGTGTTATGTGCATGGAAATCTTTTTATGTCTTCATGTGAGATTGTTCTTGCATGTTTTACAGAACTAGGTCACATGTTGGAGCACGTGTTGTATGTCTCAACCCTTGTCCCTTTAAGGTGTTTGGGGCATCTACAGGGGCACGTGTTGCCTGTCCAGATCTTTGTTCCGTAAAGGTCTCTGTGTTGGTCCACCTATTGGGGCACTTGTTCCACACCTAGACACTTGACCCTTTAAGATGTTGGGGCACCTGTTGCCTGTCCAGATCTTTGTTCCGTAAAGGTCTCTGTGTTGGACCACCTATTGGGGCACTTGTTCCACACCTAGACACTTGACCCTTTAAGATGTTTGGGCACCTGTTGCCTGTCCAGATCTTTGTTCCGTAAAGGTCTCTGTGTTGGTCCACCTATTGGGGCACTTGTTCCACACCTAGACACTTGACCCTTTAAGATGTTGGGGCACCTGTTGCCTGTCCAGATCTTTGTTCCGTAAAGGTCTCTGTGTTGGTCCACCTATTGGGGCACTTGTTCCACTCCTAGACACTTGACCCTTTAAGATGTTTGGGCACCTGTTGCCTGTCCAGATCTTTGTTCTGTAAAGGTCTCTGTGATGGTCCACCTATTGGGGCACTTGTTCCATACCTAGACCCTTGACCCTTTAAGATGTTTGGGCACCTGTTGCCTGTCCAGATCTTTGTTCGGTAAAGGTCTCTGTGTTGGTCCACCTATTGGGGCACTTGTTCCACACCTAGACACTTGACCCTTTAAGATGTTGGGGCACCTGTTGCCTGTCCAGATCTTTGTCCCTTAAAGGTCCTTTGTTGGGGCATCTGTTGGGGCACTTGTCCCTTTAAGGTCTTTGTGCCCCTTGTACCTTGTATGGCACAAAGCTGGGATGACTTCAGGGGCACTTGTTGCAACCCAAAATCCTTGTTGCCTTTACAGCTCCCATTTGAGATAACTCCAGCTGCAATGTTGCCCCTCAAAATCTTTGCTTTCTGTGTCTCCTTGCTGTCAAGACTTCAGGGGCACTTGTTGCAACCCAGAAGCCTTACACTCATGTTCCATGTTTTAAGCATTCAGAAATGTCCTTATGTACATTGAAATCTAAATACCACAACTACAGACAAGCCCAGTCAAGCCGTACAAGATTGTAGACAATCCAGGAAGTATTACATGACACTTTATAGACAGTCCAGTCATGTTTTTGCTTGTTCAGAGGCACTGAATAAACATTGTCATCATGAAATTTGAGTTATTTGGATAGATTCTAGTATGACCAAGGTTCAGTGAACTGTATAAGAATGTGAATCTAGGAGCTGAACCGGAGCTCACCGTTGTGGAATTGTCCCCAGGATGGGAAACCAAGACCTGGTCTAGACACTTTGATTAATGCCGTGTAAACTCAGCCAATCTGCTGTGGATTAGGGTCCGAGTAATTGCCAAATTAATTAGATACTCATATTTGAGATGCAGACACATAAAGTGTCGGAATAACCAGAGTCAGTGAGGCGTAGAGAAGAGTTTATTAATTTGTCTGCCACAAGGGTCTGGATTAACCAGACCCTACTGTCGACAAAACTTTGATATTAAAGACGGGATTTAGAGAGGGCAAGCGTGAGGCCGGGGAGACCAATGGACTCGCTGAGAGTTGCCTCCCCTGACATGTGCCCCTGTACCCACTGTGATATGAACTTTTATCTCCTGGCGATCAGAGCTGCTTATTGGCTAACAAGGCTCTGCCAGGACAATTTCCTGGATCATTAGCACAAGCACCTTTATGTGTTTCCCGAAATGGTAAATGTTTTACTGTACACAGATTAGAAGCATCAGTTGGTCAGTTTGTGTGAATTAAGTCTGTGAGGAATTATTGAGCGTAAATAGTTTATAGTGGCACTCTGCATGTGATGTAAGGATGTTTCAGACTTTTTACAGTACTTTGAAATCAGTGTGGTGGATACTTATCTGAAGATAGGGATGCAAACTTGGTTGTATTTTCAGTAGATTTGATAGTAGGCCTTGGGGTAAGGCTTTGTCTAGATGTGTCACCATGTCTAGATGTGTCACCATGTCTAGATGTGTCAACACGTCTAGATGTGTCACAATGTCTAGATGTGTCACTGTCTAGATGTGTCACTGTCTAGATGTGTCACCACGTCTAGATGTGTCACCATGTCTAGATGTGTCACCCTGTCTAGATGTGTCACTGTCTAGATGTGTCACCACGTCTAGATGTGTCACCACGTCTAGATGTGTCACCACGTCTAGATGTGTCACCACGTCTAGATGTGTCACCACGTCTAGATGTGTCACCACGTCTAGATGTGTCACCATGTCTAGATGTATCACAATGTCTAGATGTGTCACAATATCTAGGTGTGCCACTACATCTAGATCTGTCACAATGTCTAGATGTGTCACAATGTCTAGATGTGTCACCATGTCTAGATGTGTCACCATGTCTTGATGTGTCACCATGTCTAGATGTGTCACCATGTCTAGATGTGTCACCCTGTCTAGATGTGTCTCAATGTCTAGATGTGTCACAATGTCTAGATGGTCACATGTCTAGATGTGTCACCCTGTCTAGATGTGTCACCATGTCTAGATGTGTCACCATCTCTAGATGTGTCACAATGTCTAGATGTGTCACCATGTCTAGATGTGTCACCATGTCTAGATGTGTCACCATGTCTTGATGTGTCACAATGTCTAGATGTCACAATGTCTAGATGGTCACATGTCTAGATGTGTCACCATGTCTAGATGTGTCACCATGTCTAGATGTGTCACCTTGTCTAGATGTGTCACAATGTCTAGATGTGTCACAATGTCTAGATGGTCACATGTCTAGATGTGTCACAATATCTAAGTGTGCCACTACATCTAGATGTGTCACAATGTATGAATGTTCCACTGTGTCTAAATGTGTCTCCAATGTCAATGGTTTATAGACAGACATTCCATCTTAACTTCAAATTGCTGAGAATCACACTGAATAGAGTTCCTTTTCCCATTGTGTGATAAGGGATTAAGCAAATTTGTTGTCTAGCGATGTGGGCCGATCT